TTTCAGCTGTTCCACGTATTATTATATTATTATGATCTTTACACAGAAGTGTCTTTAGTTACATCACTGTGTAAGAATCTAAAGCGACTTTTCATAGATGACATCCTTAGTTACTTCCTTACTTCCTTACTTATATTATAAATCGGAAAGTGAGTTTGTATGTTTGTTCCGCTTTCACGACGTAACTAATGAACCGATTGCTTTAAAGTTTTTCAGACGTAAAGTTAGAAGTCTGAATAAATAATAGGGTAGTTTTTATCCCAGAAAAATTTGATATTCCCGAGGGAAACAAAATTATTGGTTTAGATGGTGCTGTGTGTATCTATACTAATATTATAAAGAGGAAAGATTTGTTTGTTTGTTTGTTTGTAATGAATAGGCTCCGAAACTACTGGACCGATTTCAAAAATTCTTTCAACTCTGGAAAGCTACATTATCCCCGACATTGCTAGTTGGTATATACGAAGCTGTATGTCATTTAAAACATGTCAACGAATTACCCCCTAATTGGAAATCTCACGCTTTAATCTATAGCGCTACTTTCACTTATTCGATGCACTTTTCGACTCATTTGCTGTTTTGTAACGTCAACGAATTACTAATTGGTATCTATGTAGTAGTTACGCTACTTAGGGATAAATGGCGCTGGGTGTATTATAATAACTTGGTAACGTTGTGGTTTCCGAGTATTTTCGCTTTTAAATTTTGATTCCTACTATTTTACATTAAATTGTGTATTTAATAGATTTTAAGTTGGTGCACTTTTCGACTCAGTTTTTTGCTTTTATATAAGTCAACAAATTACTAACTGGTATCTATGTGGTAGTTTCGCTACTCAGCCATAGATGGCGCTTGAAGTTTAAAAACCTTGATAACTTTGTGAAAGTATTTTTCGCTTTTAAATTATGATTTTACATTAAATTATGGATTTAATCGATTTAAGATTGTTAAAGGTACCTATTCGGTGCACTTACCGACTCATTTATTTGCTGTTTTATAAGTCAATGAATTACTAATTGGTATCTAAGTAGTAGTTACGCTCCTTAGCGATAGATGGCGCTTGATGTTTTAAAAACTTTGTAATGATTTAGTTTTAAGTATTTTTCGCAATTAAAATTTTGATTTCTACCATTTTATCCTAAATTGTGTACTTTATACATTGTGGGTTGTTGAAGGTACCTATTCGGTGCACTTTTCGACTCATTTATTTGCTGTTTTATAAGTCAACGAACTACTCATTCGTATCTATGTAGTAGTTACGCTACTTAGCCATAGATGGCGATGGGTGTTTTAAAAACTTGGTAACGTTGTGGTTTTCAAGTACGTTTCGCTTTTAAATTTTGATTCTTATCATTTTACATTAAATTGTGTACTTAATAGATTTTAGGTTGTTAAAGGTAACGGTAAACCTATTCGGTGCACTTTTCGACTCATTCATTTGCTGTTTTATAAGTCAACAAATTACTAGTTAGAATTTTCAGCTGTTCCACGTATTATTATATTATTATGATCTTTACACAGAAGTGTCTTTAGTTACATCACTGTGTAAGAATCTAAAGCGACTTTTCATAGATGACATCCTTAGTTACTTCCTTACTTCCTTACTTATATTATAAATCGGAAAGTGAGTTTGTATGTTTGTTCCGCTTTCACGACGTAACTAATGAACCGATTGCTTTAAAGTTTTTCAGACGTAAAGTTAGAAGTCTGAATAAATAATAGGGTAGTTTTTATCCCAGAAAAATTTGATATTCCCGAGGGAAACAAAATTATTGGTTTAGATGGTGCTGTGTGTATCTATACTAATATTATAAAGAGGAAAGATTTGTTTGTTTGTTTGTTTGTAATGAATAGGCTCCGAAACTACTGGACCGATTTCAAAAATTCTTTCAACTCTGGAAAGCTACATTATCCCCGACATTGCTAGTTGGTATATACGAAGCTGTATGTCATTTAAAACATGTCAACGAATTACCCCCTAATTGGAAATCTCACGCTTTAATCTATAGCGCTACTTTCACTTATTCGATGCACTTTTCGACTCATTTGCTGTTTTGTAACGTCAACGAATTACTAATTGGTATCTATGTAGTAGTTACGCTACTTAGGGATAAATGGCGCTGGGTGTATTATAATAACTTGGTAACGTTGTGGTTTCCGAGTATTTTCGCTTTTAAATTTTGATTCCTACCATTTTACATTAAATTGTGTATTTAATAGATTTTAAGTTGGTAAAGGTACCTATTCGGTGCACTTTTCGACTCATTTTTTTGCTGTTATATAAGTCAACAAATTACTAACTGGTATCTATGTGGTAGTTTCGCTACTCAGCCATAGATGGCGCTTAATGTTATAAAACTTGATAACGTTTTCATCAACGTTAATCAAGTATTTTTTGCTATAAAATTTTGATTTAATATTAAATTGTGAATTTAATCGATTTTAGGTTTTTAGAGGTACACGAAATTATAGCGTCAACAATAACAAGCAAATAAATTGTACGATGTTGTTTCTACGCTCGATATGTGTTGTTCGGATCGAATTAGATGGCGCTATGGTTTTGTTAACGGCGAAAGTATAGGTTCCGAGCTTTCGCAACAATTCTGTGTTGGTGTAAGCATCTAGCATTCTGATTGATTTTTTTCGTTCGCTTAATAATAGGTTTGATTAGTTAAGTATTTTTTTTTTTCTGTGTAGATATTATCTAAAGTACCTAGTTATTGTTTTTTTCGTCGTTTTAAGTCGTTTTGTTCATTGTCTAGGTTGATTGATACAGTAGTTGTTTATTAGTTAGGTGAAGTCTTTTGAATTGAAATGGGAGGATGGTATTTGTGGTAATGCGAAAATAACTCATTCTGTATATTGTTCTTTGACGCCTAAACAGCTGAACGGATTTTGAGGAAATTTGGTATAAAGGTAGTTTGTGTACTGGAAAAACAAGGCTTTACCGCGGCAGAACTTCTCATTTCCACGGAAAATTACACGCGAGCGGAAAGCTATTAATTGTTTGTTTGCCTGTCTTAAACGGTAATACGAAGGTACTAATTGACGTGATTTTAACTGAAGGTAGGTGAAGGGATGGATAGTCACATAGGCTACTTTTTATCCTTTTGTAACGCGAGCGAAACCGCGGGTAAAAGCTAGTTAATAAGTACATTAGATTACATACGTTACATAAACTTACGCCTTTATCACACTTTCAGTAAGCAGAAACTACAGAGCTGACAGAGTATCACCTACTACGATCCTTTAGCTACTTTATCTACTTCCTTAGATCTATCCTTTAGATACTTTAGCTGTTGCTTATTACTTATTTCTTAGAACTTCCATCACATTCATGCCCTTGACAAAGGATTTCGTGCGACAAGGCGTATCACAGGGTGACCATTCCTTCGACGACCGTCAACCGTACTAAACGTATTTCAAATTGAAAACTAGGTCGTGACATGGATCGTAAAAAGAAGTGTGCACTTCTGTTATTGCTTTTAAACAAAGATTTTGGGAAGATAAGATTTTGATGTGCGATGCGAATTAATTTGCAACTTCTTGCGATGCATATAGACGGATCTCGCACATTTTTGCGTACGCAGTTTTGTGTACGAGCCCTTAGTGTCAATTAGTTCGACTAAATAAACATCGAAGTAAATTGTTTTGACAAATTAAAAAAATACTTGCGACTGCTAAATTTCAAAAAAATATGCCATGCACTGAACAGGACAAGTGCACGATCCACTGAATGAGAAATAATAATGATCGGCACTAGATATAATATTATAGTCTTTTGTGTACTGCAACGTGACTGCACGAATCTCAGACTGGTCCTCCCACCTACTTGAGTTTTGGGTACGAAAGAGTTCTCTCATTCCGGTCGCCGGAAGTACAGCGTCGATTACCCAGAAACCGAAACGTGTAAAAAGCAATACCCCAGCATTGCTTTTCACGTACGCAGGTGCCGGCAGGTGCCGCTGTTTAGTCGAAATCAGCCGGATCAAATTATAATTATTATCAGCAAGCTAGGCTTGCTACATAGGTAACATACATAAATCTGCTATAGGCATGTACACAAGGCTCAAGTCCTAACTCATTGCTTTGCTGGTACGTAAAAATAAGAATTTGAAAAAACCAGCCCCAGTCAAAAACTCCGACGCTCTCTTCTCCGCTAGATGTCGTTCTTTTCAAATTATAACATTCGTTTTTTGGATTATTTAAAAGTTATCTCAGAATTAAAAAAAATATATAGTTAACCTCCAATGTTCATATTCGATTAAGAACTTGTTTTATTTTAAGTTTGTAATGAAGAACAAGAACAAAAATAAAGAACTAAACACAAGAATTAAACTAGTTTGTAACATATTCTTCCTTATTATAATATGAAATACTAACGACTAAAGAATAAAATTCATTGTATAAACAATTTCGTAACATCTGTCAAAAAGGTACAATCAATCAAAGTTAATAGCAATCAGTTCTAAATTTGAGTCTAATTTTGTCAATAATGATTGTCTATGGCTATTTGCGATAAATAACCATTAGTTAAATAATACAAAAGGAATACGCTTGTATTAATTAGGTTTAAATAACTTAAATTAGATTAATCAAAATTAAGTTTATTCTTTATTTTACTTTAATAATTTCCATCCAAGGTGAATAGTTGAATACCATAGACAATCTGTGAAGAAAACATTTTTATAACTATATTTTATAAGAATTATATTCTGGACAATAAACCACCCGTTATAAATAAAATAAGAAAAGAAAATAACATTCAAGTGAATGTATTCTGCAAATAACGCTATTTTTATAGCCAATGTGTAAAATAGTGACATAATATGACCGGAACGCACACTCGGTTGACTGTCAGTAGTACCACCTTGACAGCTTAAATCATTATCTATTGCTACGCTACGTCCGTTGCGCTCAGTTGCCTTTGCCTCCATTTTGCACGCTCGTCTCTTGTCTATAATTTTGAATAGATCGTCTTTATGGGCATGGTCCGTAGATAATTTTTACTCTTTGGATACCTTATTGTGGTCTTTGATTACTAACTGTCAAAACAATGTATCTAAATAGTGTTTTTATTAATTTTTCCAGGTTTTACTGGTTGGATAATAATGTGCGTCTATTGAAATGGATACGTGGTCCGATCTTTGCCGCTGTTGTTTGTCTGCCAATTCCGAAGTGTCACTCTTGGATTCGGAACAGAATGTAACTGAGAAGTTTCTTGAAGTAACTACGATTGAGGTACGTAAAATTCCCGTTGTTACATGTTTATTTCGTGATAAAAGAGTCAAATCCTTGGTTTTAATCGCTAAAATGTCATAAAAGTATGTCGGATTGTTAATTATTGACATGGAACATAACCTCACTTGCAAGTTGAAAATCGCCGCGAAAATGCAACGATTGCAAACCAATCTCGACGTTATTGCTTAAACGTCGATAAACAATAAAGCTCAATTTTCTTTGAAAGGTATGTCAAAATAAATCCCATGTAGCAATCGTACAATAAACAGTAAAGGCGGCAAAACTATCGAGAATTATCTAGATTAGCGTCACAAGTTCAGCACAAGCAGAATATCAGGTAATTTTAAATCCCACGATGTTAAAAAATTACAGTTCATAGTGGTATTTTCAATTCGTCTAGTTATGAAGTGCTTACCTACTTAATTATAATTTCATTTTCATAAACAAATAGAACGAGGAACCTGTAAATAACAAATCGCCAATTTAACAATAATGTATTATGTGGTATTTTTAATTTGTAACCATCAAGTAGGAAGTTCTCATTTAGCCTAATGATCTTGTTCTCATTATGCAGTAGTCCATTCAACTGTAGTGATACTGGATCGTTAATTATCTATTAAACAATTATGTAGTACATAAAAGACATGTACAATATCAAAGCAGGGTGAAATGCTTTATGAAGACAGAGGTATGAATGAAAAAGAGGTTTGTGATTAGGAAATAGAGCACCTTTTTGCATTATTTCTATGTAGTTTGTTTCCTCTGTAAAATAATACCACTCACATCACTTACTATAAGTGGTATTATTTTAAGTAGGTACTTATGATGATAATTAATACTTTGATATATCCATGATATACCCAAAATTTGTTCATACAAAAGTAAAGTAAAGTCTCTATACATCGGATATAATGTCTATAATGGAGTTAGTGGAGAGTGGTCACTAATGACCACTTGAGAATTGAACAGTTGATTTTTGAACAAGGAATTCAATTTTTATAGTTCTAGTTCGCTAAGCTAGATGAAACACCTACATAAACTATAAACAAAATTATATAAATTTCAGGTGAAAGAAGATGATGGTTTACCGCAGAAGCTGTGTGCTGATTGTTTCTCTATAATGAACACTGCATATAATTTTCGAAAGCAGTGTGTCAAAATGGACAGTGAGTTACGAATGCAGCTCAATGCTGTACTAGAAAAGTATCAAGAAGCAGAGGATGACTTTGATAATGATCCTATCAAACAACTTGAAGCTCTTATAAAGCAGGAACCGACCGACAGTGACGATGATTGCTGCTATGTTTTGGTTATTGATGACAAAGACAAGGAACATCAAATAGAAACATCAAACGTTAAGTTAGAAACAATAGAGGATGTACCAATGGAAGAAGAAACTAATGACTCCTACTCAAATCAACAGAGCCAAAGCTCACAAAGTCAGTTTGAAGACTCCATTGAATCATTCCTCATGTCCAACACCAAAGTATCTGCTAATGTACCAGCTACTATCCTCGAGAACGAGGAGGAGAGCCAAGAAAATGAAGACTTGGAAGGAGCCATGAACATTGATGAAAGTCAAAACAGCATGGACATGGTTCAACAACATATTCTAGAAGAAGGTGAAGAATCACAAGATCATGAAATCATTGAAACTGTCTCCACTGATGTTATCAAAGAACTGCCAAATTCCAAAAACTTCATTAAAATTTTGACTACAACAGATTCTGATGGCAATATCCTTTTGAAGGGTAATGACAGGATCCAGTACTTAACTGATTCCCAGTTAGTCACCAATGAAGATGAAGATGGTGATGCATTATCACAAGAAGTGATATTCTGTGAAGGTGATGACTCCTCTCAGTTCCAAATCTTGAAGTATGATGGCTCAGAACTGGTCATAGAGTATGCAGGTGACAGTCAAATAGCTACAGTACTGCAACAAGAAGATGGGACATTCTTGTGTGATTGTGGAGAGCAGTTTGATGACTTGACTGAGTATGAGAAGCATCAGTTCAAGCACAACCCTGCAGGCGAGCATTTATGTAATCTGTGTGGTAAAGGTTTTGAGTCAGCAGAAATACTCACGGGACACATGTTACTCCATGGCAGTAGTGGGCTCCTGATCACATGCCCTTTCTGTAACCAACTAATTAGACGCAATGCATTGACTCAGCACATCAAGTATGGTCACAACAACATTAAACCTCGTTGTAATGTTTGTTTAAAGACATTTGCCAATCCCAATAACTTGAAACGTCACATGATGATACACAGTGGCATCAGGGAATTTGAGTGTGACATCTGTTTCAAGAGGTTCCACCAAAAGATTACAATGCAAACTCATAGACTGACTCACTTGAATCCGTTTGCTTGCAATCATTGTGACAAAACATTTGATAACAGAACAGCATTGGCCAATCACAAAGAGTCTGATGATTGCACCAAGTCTAAAGTGATAAAGGTGAAAGAAGAATTAATGAAGACTGTGAAACAAGAAATTACTACAAATCTTGGTAAGTTACTGGGGTATGCTTGTTCGTTGTGCAAGAAAATGTTTTCAGTTGAATCTGCTTTGGAGCAGCATATAGAAAGCACACATATTGTTGATCCAACAGAACTGTTATGTTCTGAATGTGGTGAGGTGCTACCCTCTAAGAAAGACATGCAAGCTCATATATTGACGCACAAGAACTTGAAGGTTAAGAATGCAAAGAGGTTTGAGTGCAGAATTTGTGGGAAAGGATGTTCGAGCCAGGCAATGTTGCTGATGCATGAGCGAGTACATACTAATGAGAGACCGTTCCCTTGCCAACTGTGTTCTTTACGTTTCAAGACAAAAACACATTTAAGGACTCATCAGCTAACCCATACGCGGGAAAAGAAGTTTGGATGTTCGGTTTGTATGAAGTTCTTTGCTCTCAAAGGTAATTTGGTTGTTCATCTTAGAACACATACTGGAGAGCGTCCTTATGTATGCTCTATATGTGAAGAAGCGTTCATTGACTCTAAATATTTGAAAAAACACAAACTAAAGAAACATGCAATTGATAATGTGCCGTGGAATCAGTACTAGTAAAACAGTGCATTTATATTGTAGTGTATATGTAGAATTTTCTACTGTGAAAATAGTCCTTATTCTCAAAGTTAGTTAAAATTGCAGAGAAAGATTTTTTGTTTTGTTTGTGTTTTTCACTTATGTTTGTGTACTAAGAATTAAGCTTGTAAGTCAACCAAGCTGGTTATGTGTTATTGTCATACTTATTTTGTTAAATCACAATTTTTGAAAAGCGTAATACCAAAAATGTTGATGTATAAAGCTGATAACTGAATGTTGTCAGTTCACTAAACATTAAATATGATTTTAGTCCTAACAATAATCCAGTCATGTCACCTTATTTTAAACACTACTAAATGCAAAGTGTTGCGCTCTCTACGTACAAAAAAAAAGCGCAGTTGTTCCAAGACATGAAAAATATGTAAATAAAAACATATTCGTATAGCAATATGGTATAGTCTGTTCATAGATAAATAATTAGAATAACAATGCTCATGTAAATAAAACGTTATGTATTGTATGGATAAAGTTGAAAGTTGTATGAAAAAATCTAATACAGTGATGTTACAAAAACTATAAATAATAATATACAAATTATTACTCCTTTTTGGGACAGTTTGTCAAAGAAGCGGCCTTTATAAGATACTTAGGTATAGTAATTTGCCCTGTGTTCAATATGCTCCAAACAAGGTTTTAAGCAATTACAAATCTCTAAAATAAGAAAAGAGAAATGGTAGAAAATAACTTTCAATATGTAATTGTTGAATTTCTATTCAAATTTGATTGATAATAAATGCTTTAAATATAGGTATGTATATTGATAAAGAATGCAAGTTATGCCAATCAAGTCTAATGTCAAACATTAGATACCCATTTTGTGTAAATAATAGCATATTTTTTCAACAAATGCAAAGTTCGAATTCTGTTTTTTTTTTAGTTTTTATCACATGAACTTGTAAGTGTACCTAATTATTTGATTTGTAAATATAGTTTTTGCGTATATATGAAAGTTTTAGTTTTTAGAGTAGCGGTTGCATTTTCTATGTGTTATTTTAAACAAGTTTTCGTAATAAATTCATTTTAATTCACATTATAATACTCGACATGTAACTTTGCAAGATTTTGTCACGGTGTGAGTGTGTATTGTGTATTTTTTATTATTTCTCACTTGTCATTTTATACACAAACTCTTTCTTATTCTTGTGTTAACTTCTTCCTAGACATGATTAAAACTAATTGAAGGCAATAACCATACAATACCATCACAAACTTAATAGCCATCAGTTTTTATTATTGTAAGTATTAAAATAGGTGTGCATGGTATCTTTTGAATATCTTCTTTGTAGACACAACACGCCTCTGGCAGTATAATCGACAATATATTGGAGACTCGGTTGCCATACAAGAGAGAATGAACATACAGTGGTTCGTGTCGGGTATTATAATACTGGTGGTTCTGGCACCGACTGCGGTGCTACACAAAAAATGATTTAAGTATTTTATTACCACATAAATTGTGAATTTTCTTCATTCCATCAATATTCTAATCACAATATCAAAGATGTGTTGACCAATGTGTATGTATGTTTTATGCTAGTTTTAATTGTTTATTTATACTACCTAAGGGCAGATTTTTCAATCAACAGATAATTCTTAACTGTAGGATAAAATTGTCATTTGTAGCTTTTAGTAAGGAAGAATTGTCGAATATTCAAAATTATTTCTTCGGTTTAATTTATCTAGTGTTCGAAAAATCGGCCTTAAGTTATATCAATGTACTGAGGCAGTCACAATGAGAGCTACCGTTTTTCCCTCACCAGTTAACGCCAATGTTGAATGATATCCTATTCTGTGTCCAATCACTAACCTCAAGCTTCATTAGTATCAACTGGTGAACCAAAAAACAGTAGCTCTCATTAATAGTTAATGATGTAACCGCTTTATCTTCATCTCTATTTCACCACCTATGAAGTAAACTCCTATAAAAACCATCGAAAATTGTCAGATCTCACAAATCTTTTAATTTCATTATGGTGCTCCCACACTGCTGTAAAAACAATGTTAGGTAACAAGATTTCAATTTTTTTCAAATAGAATCGAGTACTGTCATCATATTTTAGTCACAATGTATGAAGCTCAAGAGTTGGTTTGAACGCGCTACTGGTACGAATTGAAAAAATATTTTTCGAGGAAACCTAATTGTTATAAAACATCACGCTACGATAGTCTAGCAGCGGGTGAACCATGAGGGGAATAGTAATTTTCTGTAAAATACTCAAAAAAATAATGAAAATTTTTAATGTTTTAAAACATTCTTAACAGCAATGTGGGAGCTATTTACGACTGAAAATTACACTTAGGTGGTGAAATATTATATTAAATTAATCACAAAAGTTGTGTTTTATAATTAAGTTAACGTAAAACATTTTCAGCTGATTTTATGGTGTGTCAAATTTAACTACCATGGGTAGTCTACCAATCTGGTTTTTTTTGTTTTTGAAGCAACTTGAACAACGATTAAAAGTATCAATTTTAATTTTATTTTTCGTTTTATTTTTCATTCATTGAATTATTCTAAAATCAATGTGGTTTCTCAAGGTATTTTGGTAAGTAAGTACATACCTATTTATTTATATGAGACAGAACAGCACATCAGCATCTGCGTATGTGCTGTTCTACAGTGAAAATTACACAAAATAAAAAAGACTTGCACAACTTGAGAATCTCGTAAATCAAGATAATTTCAAACCTTTGATTATATATACATTTTATATTTTTTATATATATAGATTATAGATACAAGACTGCACGGTTGGTGCGGTGGCTGGGCAACTGGCTGCCATGCAACGTGTCGCGGGTTCGATTCCCGCACGAGACAACACTTTGTGTGATCCACAAATTGTTGTTTCGGGTCTGGGTGTCATTGTGTATGTGAACTTGTATGTTTGTAAACGCACCCACGACACAGGAGAAAATCCTAGTGTGGGGCAACGTTTTTTTTTTAAAAAAAAATATGTCTATATGGAGTATCAGTCCACGAAAAGCGTAACAAAAAATTGTAGTGAATTCAATAAGTACTTATCCTATGACCATCCCTACATTTTACTATAGATACGTTATACATTTTTGTAACGTGGCGCTGAAGGACACATCGCGTATTATATAGATGGGCGTCGAAAAGGTTAAAAAAATCAATAAAACCATAACAAAATATTGTATTTTTCAAAACAATGATTAAATATATCTAGGTACTGTGAGTACCTACTAATATGAGAAGTCAACCAGCGCCATCTATTGAAAGTTTTGTTAAATCTAAGCACGTTCGATAGACCAAGCGAATGTTTTTTTAAAAGACGCTACTAAAAATGTGTTTTAGGTGTCTAATTAAAATTAAAGCTTAACATATTTTTTACGTGTTGTCGGTTTATAGAAAGTTTAAACGAGGAGTTGACTTATGTAATAAAAGTTTAAAGGAAATTATCGAAACGTTAAGTGAGCGCTAATTTCAAAGTTTTAAATTGTTTCCTGGTAGGAAATATTGGCTAGTAAGAATAAATAAGACGATGATGCAATTTCATTTCACTTACTAAATTAACGTCTGTTTTTTTTTAAATTAAAGGCTGCATTACCTCATTTTTTAAGTTATATTTTTTTTTAATAAACACTCAATTGACTATTGGTAACGACTTCAATTCATTTCCAATAATTTCGGCCATATTGTTTTTTCATGTGACCTACGAAGCGACCGCGAACGGCGAAATATTTAGATGATATTTCGATTAAATTGTTTATAATTAGGTAGTTAGTTTTCGTTTATTTCTTGTTCTGTTTTTAAGTGTGTGATATATTACTGTGATTATTTATTTGTGTCATTTACCTATGTTACTTACAATAATACAAAGTTTTTATTGACAATATGTGTGTAAAAATTTATAAACTCTCGCAGAATTATCGCTTAGTGATCAGATTATGTGTGTGAGTTTTTCTTCCGATTCTCTTTATTTTAATGTGACAAGCCCGTCTCAACATGCCAAAACCTCTGCAACTCCTACGCTGATAGTCTTGTCACTTGTCTTGGTAAGTTCTTTGAATTTATTTCTTTGAGTTTTGTTCATCAAAACCTTAACGTAGGTAGGTAGTTTTCCCCCGCCCCGGACACCCGTCACTAAAAAAATAAGTATAATAATATGTACAATATGTAATATGCTATATTTAAAAGTGCACTAAAGAAAAATATGCTAGGTGAATGAATGTTTAATAATACTAATTATGCCTAATGCCTACCTCTTGGCTCGGCCGCAGCCGGCCGCGTTCCGTGGTTTTTCTATTTGTCATACCTACATAGGTACGTTCTTAAAATCATAATTATTATCTCTTGAATAAATTGACCAAGCTTATGAACAATTCGAATAAAAATCCTACAAGTAGTTAGGTACTATTTAAAGCTTATATACATAATTGTACCTAATTAATAACTTTCCAAATAAATAAATAATAAAATCGTAGAAAAGTAAAAACTGTACTTTGAATATTTTTTTATAAAGAATAGGTAAATGGGGCCTGATCTACAGTCTACAGTCGATACTGAAGCCAAAAATATAGTTCTTAAATTTTTCTGTTTGTCTGTATGTATGTCCGGGATGATCTCAAAAAGTACTGCATGGATTTACTTAAAATTTTGCATAGGTGTAGGCTACATAATATTATTATCACGCAATCGCCTACGGGCACGGGGTATGCGGAGTAAATCACTATTGCACGCGAACGAAGTCGAGGGCACAGCTAGTTCTTAATATTTTATTAAATTAAATGTGATGTTCCTAATTTATTTTGACAGGGATTCATATACATAGGTATCGAGGATGGACAGGGAGGTTGCCAGTTTTTCAAATAAAAAACTTGTTATTGCAACTGCATTGATAACGTAAATTAGATAAAACATATTGCAGCCCCTCGTGTAGATGGTTACCTACTTGTGCGGATTGTTTTACAAATCACCCATATAGAGAAAAATTATGATAGTTTTATTTTTGTTTTGTATGTTCCGACGCAATCAAAAGTTGATGGAATACCTACTTTACAAAATAACGCGAGATGGCACCACTGTTACACCGATTTGTCGAAAGAATAAAAACCCACATATTTGATGATGTTATGTAGGTATATCGTACCTACATACACACTCCAATGGGGGTGATGATAATTATACATAGTAAGAAAGTAGTGGAAATGAATGTTATTATTCTGAACTAAAACTATTCCTTCAACATCAATAATATCACATTTTATTACGTGCTCCGTAGATCTTACAATACCTGTGTAAGTATTAATATTATTAATAAAAAAGTACCGCAGAAGCACAATATTTAATAAAGCAAAATAAGAAGAGACTATCACAAATGTATTGAAATGCCGCGTTAAAAATATTTTAAAGCTATTTATTTCAAAAATATTTTAGTTATCTGAGAACTATTTATTTAGTTTATTAGAACTATTTATTTAGTTTATTAGAACTATTTATCTAGTTTACTTCATATAGAGGCATTTATTTAGTTAGATATCTAAGAACTTTTTATAAAAAAATTTCTTTACGTATCTTTCGTTGCTTGTTTCAATTGACCCCGTGTCATATGATTCAAGTACCAGGCGCTCATAAGAATAAAAGAGTTGTTTAGTCACTGTCATGATGTCTCTCAATCTCAACACAAACATGTACACATACACACGGTACCAAGCCCCGCCTACTGGCACTACCCACCACTGCCCACCGTACGCGGCGTGCGGTTAGTCATACGTCTATCAAATCCATTTGTGAGAATGTTCATATTATGTATGTTTGATGCTCTTTCATCCAAAAATTATTGAATAGCTTTGTGATCATTCTTAAAATCTTAACTTTAAATAGTTTATTACCGTAAGTTATAAAATGATGCTAAAGCAAAGTATATTTCTGCCTTCATAATCTGAAAATTTTGAAGTTATTTGTACAAGATCCATGATCCATCTGGTTCCTTCATAATTATGTGCCCCTGGTAGTCTATGACAGGATGGTTCCAATACGTTACTAACAAACGTTCCTGTGCGTTACCAACGCAACCAACTGTTTCAATTTACCCCGGCGCAATATTCTAAAATACTAAGACTTCATGACTTCTAGGCGGTTTTTAAGAATGTATAATTTTTTTACACCGCTGCATAGAGGCAGTAAATACTAGTAACAGAATTCGGCTTTGAACTATAAAAATAATAATGACCTACTCTATCTGCGTACACAAAATAATGTTTCCTCTTAATTTTAAGTACAGATACATGAAATAATGAAATGAAAATGAGTTTACGCGGGATAAATTTATTTATCATAAGCAATAACAATAATTTTCGGTTTGACTTTACTATTTATTTTTTATTTAAGTAATAAAATACTGACGTGAACAAGGGAACTACGCAGTACGATGCGAAACCTAAAAGTAACAATAATACAATGAATTTTGTGTGGTAGCATTTGAAGAGACTCCGACGAGTTCGACAACCTCATTTACTGTCCCAATTTGCCCCGTCATATTCGCTAACAGAAACTGTGAATACCAGGCGAACATGATAATCAAAGAGGTATGTCGATACCTCTTGCGCGCGTACCTTTGTGTTGTGGCACGGCACGCAAACGTGAGTGACCTCGAAGAGTTGGCGCGGACTTAAAAGTTTCACTAACAAAGTATTTTTTAAAAAGTTAGACGGGTGGACGACCTGTACTTGTTCAATAGTAATTTTGTAATTATATACTGTCATTTCTTTGTAATTTGATAAAGTAGGTAGTCATTACTTTAGTTTATTTCAATTTACAAATCTGTTGATACTTCCAAAGTTGCAACATGTCAGATGCTAGCGATAGCGACTAGAGGGCGTTATTCTACGTTTCAATTAGAAATAAATAAATGCTAGATTAAAATATAGATCTATACCTAAATTAAATTAAAATGTTAATACATCGATAAAATGCGTGCTTATACATTTTCATTTTTATAATGTCAAAAGATATATCTAGCTGCTTCAGAATTATGTGTCCCTGGTAGTTAGTGACAGCGCAATTCCAAACGTTACCAACAAAACGTTCCTGTGCGTTACCAATCAACTTATAACTACAGACTGTTGTGCGTCGTAATATACTCACTCATAATAAACTAAACATATTCTAAAATACTAGATTATGAGGACAAACGTGACTTGAGGACAGTTTTCAAAATGATCTATGACTTTTATTAAATGCATTAAGTAATTTCCAACATCCTTGCAATATTCGGGCGTGGAGGGGGAGGCGTGGTGTGGAACACTGTACTTAAATTATTCTCGTCATCATCATCATCATAAACAGCCTATAAGTGCCCACTGCGGAGCAAAGCCTCTTCTCACACGGAGAAGGTTTGAGCATTAATCACCACGCTTGCTCAATGCGGGTTGGCGATGTTAAACATAGAATTACCTCAAGGTAATTATAAGAAATTATAAGCCCAGGTTTCCTCACGATGTTTTCCTTCATCGTTTGT